CTCTGGCAAGGACAAGGAAATCTCAGCACCGTGCTCCAGTTACATCTGGTCAAAGAGCATTCTGGTTTGACTGACTATAGCTAGAAACATCCTTGGACTTGGAAAATGTCGCTGTACGTAGCTGTCTTCTTACAGAGAATTCGAAGTCTCAGGGAAAGACTTTCTGCTTCACAGCCACCTTATTCTATGTTAGGTTTGTCAATACCATTTAGTCAGGCACTGACTAAATCTCAGGAATAGCTGATGAGCAAGTTGCATTCATCGCTCAGTATAGCAAACAATAGCATATTTCACGGGAGAACCCTGAGATGTTGCAGTATGAAGATAGTAGAAAGAACCTATTACAGGATTTGTGCTATGATTGGGTGATTTCGGGGAGGGCCTAAGGAAGTAGTGGTTCGCTCCAACTGGATGTTGTCAGAAAGCAAGGGCAATTCTATGACTAGGGTTTTTGTTGGTTTGTTTTTCACTTTAAGTTCCGGAATACATGTGCAGAATGTGCAGGTTTGTTACCTAGATATACATGTGCCATGATGATTTGTTGTGCCTATCAACCCATCAGCTATGTTTTAAGCCCCACATGCATTCAATATTTGTATGACTAGGTATTTTAACAAATCTAATCTATAGAGAAAGCAGAGAAGAAAGAGTATAAAGCTTCTCATTTCCCTTTTTCCTGAAAGATAACAGTCACTCGTTTTACAGAGAATGTCTGATATTTTATGGATAGCAGTAACTTTGCTTTTGTCTATGCTTAGACAAAACAATGAAGTGGTCTTGTTTTGTCTCATTTTATTACTGTCTCAGAGAGATATTAACTGAGGCTGTGTTCCGATCGATTATGTCCAACAAGAAAATAGCTATGAGTATCAGACCAGCTTGAAAATCTTAGAGGTTTGCTATAATATCAAATAAGTTATGGATGTCTGGGGCTGTTTTTCTACCTTCGAGCCTGTAAGATTTTTTTCACTGGCCACATGGTAGACACAGTTAGAGACTTAGAGACATGTTATTGGTTGATTGATTAATCAGTCCATTGATTAATATTTAGTTCCACCTGTGAGAGGTTTGAAGCAAGACAAAGACACGATTTCAGTTTTCTTAGAAAAAATAAACAGAAATTAAGGAATGCCCCAAGGGAAGTAAGTAACAAGCACAGAACAGTCTCTTGACACTCTTCTCCTTTTCAAAGCAGTAAATGTATCCTCCAGGATCAGAATATACAAGCTAACTTACTTCCTGGGAGGCTCTACTTACACTCCTCCATCCTTCAGCAAACAAAAATCGCAATCCTTATCACAGTTTCCACCCTTTTTCTGCTCTCTAATTATTACCAAAAAGACTACCACTTCTCTCTAAGAAAATAAAAAAGATACATCTGAGAACCTTCAGTTTGGGACTTTCTTTGCTACTACAGGTAAAAAAAAAAAATGATACAGTGTTTAGAAGAATAGAAAAGTCTTAGTATAGTTGCAGAATCTAATAGCCTCCACCCACACCTCTCTTTGAATTCACCACAACACACATACAACCAATATTTCTTAAGCTCTTACTGATCAGGCACTGGTCAAGGTACTCCATCTCATACAGTAATCTTTACAACAGCTCTTAAGGAAGACATAATTATGCCCGTTTTATAGTTAAGGAAACTAAGAGAGTATTAATTTCCTATGACGAGTAAAGAAAACTCTTGACCCTAAATCCAGGATTTTTTCTATCTTGTACAGCTGCCTACCACTTGTCCCAATCTGGAAAATTATCTTATCCTGACTTTTTAAAGTATTTTCTGGAAGCAGATTACCCAACATTACAGACATGGCAGCCCCATCACCGAACCTGTGCAAAACAAGAGAAGAAACCTGTGTTGTGATGAGACATCTCTGTGCTGGCTGAGGAGCGGGCCAACCAAGCTAGCTGCCCAGACTTCTACTGCAGGGAAGTTTCGGGGAACATTAAAACATCAGAGAAATGCCTTCGCATCACACTGGATGTGACACAGTTTGGCTCATTCGGTCATAGTCTATCTTCACCCCACTTTCGGGGGTTGACTAATTTAACAAGTAAACAGATTTTTTAAAGCAGTTTTTGTTGTTAATTAACTTGATCCAAGCAGCCTGGGTAAAAAAAAAAAAAAAAAAAAAAAAAAAAAACCAATGTTGTGCCCATGTTCACAGTGCCCTCTACAGCCAATGCAGGGTGAATCAACTAGGTGTTTTTTCTTTTCTTTTTTTTTTTTTTTCTTTGCTCCAGCTGGGATTTGTGGTGGGTAAACATCATAGCTTCTTCTGCACAGAAGAGATAAGTAACAAAAGGTGAGTAACAATACAGTCTGCTTAAGACTGCTAACTCAAAAAAACATAAAGCCATCAGGCAAAAATATAACCACCCAAAGTCATTCTGCCTGAGGTGTTCCAAAACAGTGACTGGGAAAAAAAAAAAAAAAAAAAAAAATGTAAATGTTTTTCTTCTTTTCAAGTCTCCTGCTAAACCTGTCTTAACATTAGATCACTAATATCAGGTTCCACTGTTTATATAGCTAGAATAGGAACCAACTGACTCTGTAGACTCATATTCCCAACCCAGACAATCAAAGACCTGTTTCAACAAGACAAAATTAAACCTGATTCTATCTCTCAGCTCTATCTATCCTTGATGGCTGGGGAACTATTTTAACAGAAGTAAGCAACAGCTACCTACTATTAATTTGAATGTTTTACTCCTGAAATTGGTAGGCTGCATTACCAAATAGCATGAATAAATGAGTTAGCTCAAAAAATAAAAGTGATTCCAAATAGTCCCAAGGGTTTTTTGTTCCACAGTCCTGCAATCTGATTCAGCCTTGCCCGCAAGTATCGTGTGGATGTGATCCCTTTCTGGGAAATAAGAAAGTTTATCTATTCATTCATTTTATGGATATTTATTGAAAGCTTTCTGTGTACAAAGCACTTTTCTAATGCCCAATCACCTCTGATAAAGTAACTTCTCAAATTGATTTCAAGCCCATGACAAAATTCTATTTGAAACTGGATGCTCAGGAAGATTCTGTTGAGTGAACCAATTCAAAGAATTTTCCCTTGGTAGGTGCATATAGGAAAAGTCAAAGGTACAGTAAAGAACATCTGGTTTAAATAATAACATGGATAACAGAATTCACCTCAACAGATAATGAACTTCCTAGAAAGTCAATAAATTACATCATGCCTTGAACTATTCTCCTAAGCCACGCTTGGGAAGAGTTTTCTTTATCAATTCTGCAATATTCTCTCTCGAAAGAACAGTTTGCTATAACCACTACTCTGAATAAAAAAGTACTTCCAAGAAGAGAATTATCCAGGGTAGTATTACCAAAAGAGAAAAAGAAATTGTTAAAATGCAGTCTATGTGTCATTCTCAAGACTCTAGTAAATACACCCCTTAATGTTAGAGAAGGATATTGACAATGAGAACTCTAATATACTGCCAATGGTAATGAAAAATAGTGCAATAATTATAGAAAACTTTAGCTTAATTTTCTACAGATGAAGATACACACCTCCTATGATCCAGCTAATAGAAATCCATGTACATGTGAACCAGGAGAGATATACATTACAGTCATGGTAACATTATCCCTAATAGTCCCAAAAGAAGTAAACCAAAATATTTACCTGTTGTAGAATATTTAAATAAGTGATGGTTTGGGTCAGGCGCAGTAGCTCAGGAATGTAATTCCCAACACTGTGGGAGGCTGAGGCAGGAAGATCACTTCAGCTCAGGAGTTCAAGACCAGCCTGCGCAACATGGCAAAACCCTGTTGCCACCAAAAAACAAACAAACCACACACACACACACACACACACCATAAAATTAGCCGGGAGTGGTGGCACATGCCTGTGGTCCCAGCTATTCAGGAGGCTAAGATGGGAAGATTTCTTAAGTCCAGATGGCTGCAGTGAGACAAGATGCACTGCCCTCCAGCCTGAGTGACAGAGAGAGACCCTATCCCAATCATACAACGTAGCAGTACAGGGCAGTAAAAAATTATCAGAATACAGATATATGCAACAGCACAAATTTCAAAAACTTACTGTTGAATCAACAAACCATCCAAAAATATAACAGTATTTCATTTATGCAAAGAACAAAAACAAGCAAGACTTTATACTGTGCCATTGTTTAGAGGTACATGCTTAGTTAGTAAATTGTAAAGAAAAACAAGGAAGTGATGATCATAAAGAAGAAAGTGTTATGATAGGTGGGAGGGAGGGACAGAGAGTGATGGGGATGGGGCATGTGAGGAGATTCTAGGACACGATATTCTATTTCTTGATCTCAGTGGTAGTTACAATGATGTTTCGTTTATGATCTTTTATTAAGATACATATTTATGTATTGTGCATGTTTCCATACATTTCACAATAAGAAAATGTCTGTGTTTATTCCCTGATACTGACTTGTACTGTATTTTATAGACCAACAACTATTGTCCAAGAGGACAATGTTTCAGGATTAGACAAAAATAGTCAATATTGGCTAGGCACAGGTGGCTCAGGACTGTAATCCCAGCATTTTGGGAGGCCAGGCATGAGGATCATTTGACTCCAGAAGTTTGAGACCAGCCTGTGCAATATAGGAAGACTCTTTCTCTACAAATAATTTTAAAATTATCTTGGTATGGTGGCACATGCCACATGGTGGTCCCAGCTACCAGGCAGGCTGAGGCAGGATTGCTTGAGGTGGGGAGGTCAATACTGCAGTAAGCCATGATTGTACCACTGTACTCTAGCCTGGGCAAAAGAGCAAAACCCTGAATCAAATATATAGATAGATATAGGTATAGATACAGATATAGATATAAATATAGATGATACAGATATAGATACAGACATAGATAGATACTGATATCTATTGATAGATGTGCTTATTGCATTCCCAGAGATAGTTTAAACATAAATCTGGGTTCTCATCTATCCTTTCACTGGCATCCAGTAATTGCTGGTGCTTTTACAGCTCACAGGCACATGAAAATCTTCAACACCCCCAGCAACTCCAGAACCTTCACTGGCTTCATCCTCCTGGGCTTCCCTTGCCGCAGGGACGGGCAGATCCTCCTCCTTGTGCTCTTCTCCGTTGTATACCTCCTGACCCTCACGGGCCATGGTTCCATCATCTGCGCTGCGCACTGGGATCAGAGACTCCACACCCCCATGTACATCCTGCTTGCCAACTTCTCCTTCCTGGAGATCTGGTATGTCACCTCCACAGTCCCCAACATGCTGGCCAACTTCCTGTCTGACACAAAGATCATCTCCTTCTCTGGGTGCTTCCTCCAGTTCTACTTTTTCTTCTCCTTGGGTGCTACAGAATGCTTCTTCCTGGCAGTTATGGCATTTGATCGATACCTCGCCATCTGCCAGCCTCTACACTATCCAACCATTATGACCAGACATCTCTGTATCAATCTCGTGGTCAGTTGCTGGGTACTTGGTTTCATCTGGTTCTTGATTCCTATCATCATCATCTCTCAAATGTCCTTCTGTGGATCCAGGATTATCGATCACTTCCTATGTGACCCGGGTCTTCTTCTAACACTCACCTGCAAAAAAGCCCCTGTGATAGAGCTTGTCTTCAATATCTTAACTCCTCTGCCTGTCTTTATGCTCTTTCTCTTCATCGTGGGGTCCTATGCTCTGGTCCTGAGAGCTGTGCTGAGGGTCCCTTCAGCAGCTGGGAGAAGAAAGTCTTTCTCCACGTGTGGGTCTCACCTGGCTGTGGTTTCACTGTTCTATGGTGCAGTAATAGTCATGTATGGGAGCCCAACATCTAAGCATGAAGCTGGAAAGCAGAAGACTGTGACTCTGTTTTACTCTGTTGTTACCCCATTCCTTAACCCTATGATATATAGTCTTAGGAACAAAGATATGAAAAAAGCTCTGAAGAAATTTTAGGGATCATAAAATGTTAATGAAAAAGTCCTTGTGTAACTAATCTTCTCTTTAATTTTGCGGTTTAAAAAAAAAAACTGGTTTTATACAGTTAATTGTTCATCTCATTGGCCAAAGCTATAACACCTGTTTTAGCATGTTTCTGTTATTTCTTCTTTCAGATCTTGATTATCTGCCCAGTCGTCTAGCATGCCTCAATGTTTTTAATTGACTGCTGGGCATTGTATTTTAAAAACTATAAAGATAATGTGTGTGGTCAGGAAGGTTAAGTTTTCTTCTAGCCAGTAGATGGAGTGGAGGCAGATCACACTCATTCTATTTACACACCACCTCCATGTGTTTTTAAAATGGTCTGTGCTATATTCAGCTTTACTCCGAGGTGGTGGTTTTTACTGCAGGAACATAGCCTTTCTCAGACCTCAGGGGCAAATCCGGAGTGTTTAGAAGCCCCCTCCACTTCAGCTGATTCTGGCCTCCTATTTCAGTACTTCTTGAACCCCATCACCTTGGAAACTCCTTTGCTCTTTACGCTCTCAGCTTTAGTTTCTGCTAGCTGTTTTGAGTCTCACCATGTACACATACAGCTTAGAAATTCAAAAATGCCTTGAAGGGAAACTGCATCCCATTTTTAGTGGAGTTTCTGTGGTCCTCCCTCTCCAGGATTTGTTTCTCAAATGCCAGCTGCTTTCTCTACCTTCTCAGTTCAGTAAAACTACTGCTTTCTGCTCAAGCTTTCTTCCTCCTTTCCCGGCTTCTTTCCCAAATACCTCCACCTCCTCATACTTTCCCGACCCTTAAATGGTCAAATACCCTCAGGGAAAAACACATGGTGAATGTGAAGCTCCCCTCCCTTTTCTTCCTTTTATCTTGGACTGTAGCCCATGAAGTCTTGCCTACGTCAGTTGCTCTGAGTGCCTTCAAATAATTGTTTTATGCATTTTTGTCCAGATTTTACTTTTGATGTAAGTTGCTTTTGGTTTAATACAAGTTTTTCAATCACGACCAGAAAGTTTTTTCTATTCTGTCTAGATTCCATACATTCTCACTTCTTCCTTCACTTTCACAAGATGATCATGTAGCATGTGTGTTGAAAAGTCCACAAACTGGAGAGACAGGTGGCTATAGAGGCCAGCATAAACACATAACTGGGATGCAGACCTGACCTGCTTTTCTTTTCATTGCAAGCAGCAAAGAATCCCTGAGGACTCTTCCACTGCAAGAAGCAGGAGAAAGGTTATTTATGGTAAAAATAAATGATAAAACCAGGACCACAGATTTAGGCCTTTTCTTAATGGAAGTCACCCAATAATTATAGATCAGTAAAAATAGTTACCCAGAATTTGTATTAGAAGCTTGGGCTAGTTCTCCTTGAACTTTTTCCTAGGCCTGGGGTGAAAGGTCATGCTAAGATTGAAGGGTCTTCACTAATCCAAATGCCTATTTTTCAAGTGAAATAAACAGGAATTCTAAATCAGGAGGCAATTTCCTGAGGACAATGATTTTAAGAATTACAAAAAAAAAAAAAAAAAAAAAAAAGTTTCTATCCACTACCCTTTTAACTAGTCCAAGTTCCTTTGCTTTGAAAAGTAACCCTGAATTTCTCTTTAGGACTTCTCACTTATTTGCCAGTCATATCACAATAAGGTTGTTTTCTTAATACACATGAAGCTCTGTAAAATAGTAAGAGAACAGAACAGCATCCCAGTAAGAAAATGAGCAAAAGGATATAAACGAATAACACCCAGAAAGATTCTTAAACATGTGGAAAGGGTACTAATTCATAAAAAGATAAAAGAATAAGCCTACAAATATATCTCACTTTTTAACCTATTAAATTAACAAAGATCAAGAAGTTTGATAACACATTGTATGTCTGAGGACTGTGAAATGGGTTCTCTCATACTTATCTGGTGGGCATATAAGTTTTACAAACTCTATATAGGGTGACAAAGCAACCTCTCTCAAAATGTCAAAGGCACATAAACTTTAAAATAGCAACTCAACTTTTAAGGTGCTTAGACTACAAATATTTTGACGCATGTGGGAAATAATGAAAGTATAGGAATATTGCCGGGCACGGTGGCTCACGCCTGTAATCCCAGCACTTTGGGAGGCCAAGGCGGGTGGATCACCTGAGGTCAGGAATTTGCGACTAGCCAGGCCAACATGGCGAAACCCTGTCTCTAATAAAAATGCAAAAGAATTAGCTGGGCACGGTGGTGCATGCCTGTAATCCCAGCTACATGCGAGGCTGAGGCCAGAGAATCACTTGAACCTGTAAGGCAGAGGTTGCAGTGAGCTGAGATCATGTCATCGTACTCCAGCCTGGGCAACAAGAGCAAAACTCTATCTCGAAATAATAATAATAATAATATAAACTGAAGACCAGAGAAAGATATTACTTAAAATGTTAAGTAAATACCGATTTTAGTAATCGAAAGTTGAATTGCTTCAATCTACCATCTTGCTGAAAACAAATAAAAATACTGAATTTTTAAAAAATTTTTTTAAAAAGACAATCTGAAAAGAGAACAGAAAATGCCTAGGTCATTTTTTATGAAAGCCTGAGAGGTGAGCACTAAGGCCATTTGTGTTATAGTTCAAATCCTTATGCTTCAGGACAATGCCTATCTAAGGAGAGGGAAATAGGAACCTGGGGCTGGGTCGGGGAAAGGGGGGAAGGGGTCACAGAAAGCTGGTTCCCTAATGGTCTTCATCCTCAGGTAAGGATGAACCAGAGCTAGAGCTGATGCCACTCAGAAGGGAATCAGAAATAAGTCACCCCTGGAAGATCGGGGCCATGGTTCACCTCTTGTTTGAATTTATAAATACCATTTTCTTCAATTTCCCTATTATACTGGTTGTAATCTATTTTATTTTATTTTTGGTTCAAAGGTGTTAGGCTTTCTTTTGCTGTTGTAGTTTGGGGTTTGGGGTTTTTTTAGACAGTGTGTCCCTCTGTTACCCAGGCTGGAGTAGAGTGGTTTGATCACAGCTCATTGCAGCCTCAACCTCTTGGGCTCAAGCAATCCTCCCACCTTAGCCTCTCAAGTAGCTGGGATCACAGGCACATGCCACCACGCCTGGCTAATTTTTTTTTTTTTTTTTTTTTTGGTAGAAATTGGGTCTCTCTATGTTGCGCAGTCTGTGGGCTTGATGTTAAAGACTTTGCCATTCTCTTCCCTTTGTTTTATGAATTGACACACCTAAAAATTTCTAAGTAAAATATTTTAATCCTCCAGCCTAGACTGTATGTTAGGTCACAAAATAGCCTTAATCATTTTGAAAGATTAAAATCATACCTATCTTTCTCAAATCACAATGGACTAAAACTGTAAATCAACAGCAAAAGAAAACCAAAATCTCCACAAATATGTGGATATTCAACAACACACTCTAAAGCAAGCGATGAGTCACAGAAAAAGTCACAAGGGAAATTATAAAGTATCTTGAGACAAATAAAAATGACAACACAACATACCAAAATTTACAAGATGAAAGGAAAGCAGTGCTAAGAGAGAAATTTAAAGCTATCAAGGTATACATTATAAAGAAGAAAAATCTCAACTCAAAAACCTAACCTTACACCATAAGAAACTACAAAAAGAAGAACAAACTAAATTCAAAGCTAGCAAATGGTAGAAATAATGAAGATTACGGCAGGGATAAATAAAGTAGAAAATAGAAAACAGTAGAGAAAATAAACAAAACCAAAAAAAAGATGAACTAAGTGGACAAGACTTTAGCTAGATTCAGGAAAAAAGAAGACGCAACATAAATTAGAAATGAAAGTGAGGACATTACAACTAATTTTCTAGAAATCAGTTTTTTAGAACTTTTCCTACTAACAAAAAGAAGTTATCTGGAATTCCACGTAGATATCTCATCACTGCCTTTCAAAACATTCTTATTGTCTTTGCTCTGGGGCCCAATTTGCCATAAACTGCATGAAAACTATGGATGAAAGAAAGGATGCTATAACAAGGACTCCTGAGGGAGTCACAAACCAGCCCAAGGGAAGACTGAAGACATCACAACAATCTCCGAGATAAAACTTTAATTGCACCTCTGAATCGCAATGACACTCATTTCTTCATCACCAAATGAAAGAAAATATCATTTGTGTTCAGCAAGAATTCACATTTAGAGCTATGATTACTTATATCTGACTTTATAAAATTAACAAATAAAAAATTGTATATATGTATTATGGGTAACACGTTGTTTTGAAATATGTATACATTGTACACCTACCTCCAGTTAAAGAACACATGCATTACCTCATATACTTACCACTTTTCTGTCGTGAGAACATTTAAAATCTACTCTTAGCCATTTTCAAGGAAAAAATAAATTATTAACTACAGTTATCCATGTTGTACAATCTGATCTCTTGAACTTATTTCATCTAACTGAAGTTTTGTATCCTTTGACCAACATCTCCCCAACCTCCCAGTTCCTGTAACCACAATTTTATTCTGTGCTGCTATGAATTCAACTGTTTTAGATTCCACACATACATATAAGTGAAATCGTGCAGTATTTGTCTTTCTTAGCCTGGCTTTTTTCACTTAGCACAATGTCCCTGGATTCATCCATGTTGTCACAAATGATAGGATTTCCTTCTTTTTTAAAAGCTGCATAGTATTCCATTGTGTGCATATACCACACTTTCTTTACCTATTCATTCTCTTTGACTTTTGATCATTAACCTTCCAAACTTATCTAGATTCAGAGTTTTCTGTAGGTGGGGAGGCGAGATTACAGTTGAGATGTCAAAACCTATAGTCTGTAACATGTAATAGTACAAGAATGAATTCTTGTAGCACAATATTATATTTTGTAACATTATTTTAATGAGAGATTTATTGTTAAATGATTTAAGACACTGCATTTGTTTATAGTGTTAGAAATTCCATTTACAGAGAAGTTTAAAAGTGTGAAGTAAATTCAGTATAATCTCAGGTAGCTATTAACTCTCTACTCTCCAGAGAAATATTGCC